TGTTTAACACTATCATCTGCTTCTTTTGTTAGTTTGAAAAAATATTTTTTCCACCATACCTTATCATCCTACTTATAAGTAGTGAAAAATATGTACTTAATAATTTTATTGTTTTGCCGGTGAACAACCTTCATTTAAATAAAGTTATATATATTCAATATTTACTTTACTAACTTGGCGAATTTATAAAAGGGACTAATTGTTTTAAATTTATACTCACACATTAAATGGTTTTCATATCTGAACACTGAGCAGTAAAAGACGAATAAGTGCTAACGTTCATTGATCAGAAACCTACTGATGAAATCATAACTACAAATCATTGCTTCTCTGCAATTTATGATTAGTTTAGCATTTTCTGGGCTATTAATGGTATTTCCGTAATAACTGTTGTACTAGATGTTCACATTTTATTCATTTTAAAACGATGTTCTTATTTCCTTTAACTTCTGTCAAACGTATCTGGGCTACTAATATAAAAGTATGGTGTCAGGAAAACACTATGAAGTTTATTAGTTCCTTATTAGACAATCTTTGGAGGATCCTTTAACTCTTTAACGAATATTTTGATAGACAAGTCAACTGATTTTCAGTAGGTTTGCGTGAACAAAAGGAATCTCAGGTCCTACGTTGTGTATGACTAACTGACTGACTCATTAGGTTTTCATAAATTGATTTTACGTGTTCTTATTTATTTATTTGAACACATAAATATTAGTACAAAAGGGCATCGAATACATATGCGCCACACAAGTCATTTGATTTATATGTGGGCTATGATGCTGTCCGTGTGCCCAAACCAAAGCAAGTGGATTTTTAGGTGGCCACGCCTGGAGCCTTTGACCTAAAGGTCTGATCCACAGGGCAGTCAGTCAGCTGCAACGTAGGACCAGGCACGTATATGCATCCGTCCAAGTTGCCATACCGCATTAGCACAACAAGATGAACACCGGATTCATAGCAGTAGTTAATCCAGTGGTGGTAATATATAGAAGAAAGAGTGTGTATAAGGAGATAGTACAGGAAGATAGAATTAGTTCGTAGAAAGAAAGATTTGAAGTGATTTTAATCTCTTAGTTTAAAGGAAGACAGAGAGTGTATACACCGACGCCATTGTGATCGATTCTGAGCCATGTCACAAATAGTCTCCAACCATTGGTTACGATAGTCATGCACACCCCAACCAGTTAGTCTGCATCTACCAACATGGCTCAGACCAGAAGTTAGTGACTTCAAACACTGATGCCACGTTTTGGTTTGGCCGCCCCTAACTTTCTTCCAATCATCCCTAACACCGGTTAGCATTGCGCGTCGTGGTAATCGGTGTTCAGGCATACGCAGCACGTGGCCCAACCATCTCAGTCGATGAAGGTTCATAACCTCATCAACTGATTTACCATCATTCCCTAATACCCTACGTCTAACCTCACTATTACTTACCCGGTGATCCCAGCAGATGCGAGCAATATTTCTAAGGCACCTGTGGTCAAATACTAGTAACTTACGAATATCTTCTACTCTTAAAGACCAAGTTTCGCAGCCGTGTAGTAGAACGGAACGAACTGCCGCGCAATATACTCGTCCCTTAATTGATAGACGAATATCTCGCCTTCGCTATAGGTGACGTAAGTTGGTAAAAGCCAAAAGAGCTTTTCGAATCCGTGCTGAGATTTCATCAGACACCAACCCATTAGGGCTGATCAGACTTCCAAGATAAGTGAAGTTGTCGACGCGTTCGACTACTTCACCCCCTATCCTTAGTTCAGGTGTTGACGCAGACCAGTTGTGAAGTAACAACTTTCATTTAGAGGGAGAGAAGCGCATTCCAAACATTCTAGCATTGTTGCTCAGTGCTACGAAAAGACTGCATTTCATCAGCGTCTTCACCAAACAGGACTATGTCATCTGCGTGTTCTAAGTCAATAAGTGGACCTCCTGGTAGGAGATCAATACCTGAGAATTCAGTCGATGAGAGCGTTATTTCCATCAGTAGATCTATGATAAAGTTAAACAAAAAAGGAGAAAGTGGACAGCCTTGATGGACACCACTTGAGGTTGCAAAAGCAAATGACAGTTCGCCATAAGCTCTCACTCGACTACTAGTGATCGAGTAAAGAGCCTTCACAAGGTTTATGTACTTCTGAGGTACGCCTTTCAATGACAGACACTGCCACAGAACCTCTCGGTCAACAGAGTCAAACGCTGCTTTTAAATCAAGAAAGACCACTATTGTCGGACGCCGATAAGTATGCCTGTGTTCTAGAACCTGACGAATGGTGAATATGTGGTCGATGCATCCACGACCAGGTCTGAAGCCAGCCTGATTTTCACGTGTTTGCAGTTCACGAGTCTTAGTTAGGCGTCCGAAAATTATCGAAGCTAGTATTTTAGATATTATATTAGTTAAACTAATCCCTCTGTGGTTGTCACAGGATGATTTTGACCCTTTCTTAAATATTGGGACGATAAGTGATTGTGACCAGTTAGATGGGATAACGTCTAACTCCCAGATTTTAACTAAAGTATTAGTCAACCTAATCGCCAAAACTAGACCACCATCCTTAAAGACCTCTGGGGCCAATCCATCTGGACCAGCTGCCCTTCCTCGTTTCAGATTAGCTATAGCCTTTTGAACTTCAGCTAGAGTTGGGGGACCTACTTCAATGTCCCATTCATACTGTCTGGGAATAGAGGGTAGTTGTAGAGTAGCTGAAGGCCAACTGAACTGCTCCTTAAAATGTTCCGCCCATCGTTCTAAACGTCTGGACTGGGAGCAGATAAGAACATTGTCTTTTTCCGAAATAGTCTGACTTACACTTGATTTATTAATTCCAGTTTCTTTTATTAGTCTGTAGAGTTGTCTTGTGTTCCCTATAGCCGCCGCCTTTGCCATCTCTTTTGCTTTCGTTGCCCACCACTGCTCATGATCACTCCTTAGACTTTTGCTTAACCTAGATCTGATCTCTTTACGCTCTTCATCGTGTTCAGAACCTGATGCGATGAGTTTACGAGAATCCATCAGTGCAATAGACCTTGAAGAAATCAATTGGTTCTTTGTAACCCTTTGGTTTAAATCACTAGTAGATGTCACTGCTGTTTCCACAGCTGCTTGTATGTCTTTCCAATCAACATCGGGGTCAGCCTCGTTTTCAGAACTACCTAAGTGTGACCTCAGTTGTTCCTGGAACGTACTTTTGGTTTTCTCATTACTCAATTCGGTTCTAATGAGTCTTTTTTGTGTGGCTTTTTTGCGTCCAGTGAGGCGCAAGCAGATGCGTGCTCGTACTAGGGCATGGTCGGAGTCCAAGCAAGTACTCCAGAATGAGCGACAATCTTCTATCGACCCTCTCCAACGATGACTGATGGCAATATGGTCTATTTGAGTCCATCGTTGGTTTGGTGCAGGGGGTCGCCATGTTAGACGATATCTCTCCTTATGCTTAAAGTTTGTGTTTGCTAAAAATAAACGATTGTCTGAGCACAGTTGCAGCAGACGATCACCATTATCTGTTCTCTGTGCCGGAATACTAAAATACCCACCTAAATGTCTTTTTGTTTTGTTTAAGCTACCTACCTGGGCATTAAAGTCGCCTGCTACGAGTACTATGTCTGAACGTTTAGCTTTCTGAAGAAGTTCAGAGAGTTTTCTGTAAAATTCATCTTTCACTTCATCCAAACTGCAGTCAGTGGGAGCGTAGGCAGAAACGACGAAAAGGCAACGACGTGTGTCCCTATCCTTTCGAGTTCTTACGGAGCCGTTTAGCCGAACAGCGCATAGACGACTATTAACGGGGATCCACTCTAATAGCGCTTGTTCCGCCCTCATGCTTAGTGCTATGCCTACACCTGCAAGTCCACGAGAACTAGCCATCGGGTCGTCAGATACACGGAGGGTGTATCTCATCGGCTCTCCGTTTTGACGAGATGAGGTCAAGTGAATGACCACACTAGGATCCTGTATGCGTGTTTCGGAGACACAGCATACATCAATCGTACGAGATTCTAAGGTTTTAGCCAAGGAAGCCTGCTGACCGATTTGGCATAGTGTGCGTACGTTGAAGGCTCCAATGTGTAGTTTGGAGCGAGGTTTCAGAAGACCTGGGACAGTGTTCTGTGCACTAGAATCTTTGGCTGTGGTGACACTTGAGGCGGAAGCCAAAAGAGGAAGTTTAGATTTGAAAGTCGATGTAGGAGGAATAATAGGAATTGAAGAGGTAGGTTGATTATGAATACAGTGGTCTTGAGTGCTGTTAGAGGTATGAGGGCGGTTATCACTTCCCGGTTGCCCACACCGTGGAAGGGTTCTTCCGGAGGTACCTGAAAAGGAAATTGGATTAGAGGTGGTCATAGTGACCTGAGAGCGTGACCGCAGTGCCCAAGGTACAGCTGCTTGAGGTCGGTCACACACGACCTTTTTATGAGTAATTTTTGTGTTAGCTCCGTACTTGTTGAGACCTTACCGCCGGAGACGGAGATCCGTGGGATAAGGCGAGGTGTGCATTTTTAGGGTCGACCTTTTCTAACCCCTCCCCTCCTTTTGGGAAGGCAGCATCGCTGTTATGTTGGTTGTCTGAAGGAAACACCTTACTGCTGTCACACCTCTGTACAGTCAGCAGTACGACTTCGCCTTCGGACCTTGATTTTGTTGCTTTTAGTCTTACCGCTCTTCAACCGACCTGTCTGGCATGGTAGAACCTTGAGGAACAGTCGTTCCAGCCAGTATAGCTCAGTTGCTTCATCATGATAGGCAAGCCCGACCACCACGTCAAGGTATCAACAACGGTCGGGAATGACTAGTGAATGTATTATGGAAATAGTTCAGCAACTGAGTTGCGAGCATCAATGAATTTTGTTGTTTAAATTTTTGGGATTGTTATAAACATTTAACAAAAACTCATCACAATTTTGCAGTAACCTATGAAAATGATAACCGTTGTCGTTAAAGTATCTCAAACATTGAAAAATTTTGACATAGACATGTACACTAAAGATTTACTCACTGTCTAAAAGTTATTTTATTTCGTTGACCAATAACCCAAGCGTTCCCACCCACTACATCATTGAATGTACGTCTTGCTGGTACAACACCTAACAACCCAGCTGCGTGACCACGTAAACCAAGAACAACTATGTCACGACTTCGATATGCTAGTACAACAGATGATATTTGTTGTTTCTGTTTTATACAACTAGATATATTTTCTTTTCTTGTATTTATACTGTTCACCAACCAGGAGGATAAGACAACTTCCAACCGTGATTTTTCATGATCAATAAAGCATACAATACCTGAGTACGTTTGAGAAACTACACAATCCGTATTATTTGAATTTGCCACATACACCATAGCTGGCACCCATGTGTGTTGCTTAGTGGGATTTTTCTCTGATAGTTTACTTGCCTTACCAAAAATTACAGAATTTTCTAATTCTTCAACTTTGAAATGAACATGATCACCAATACGAAAAGAACCTAGTAGTTCGTCTAAGATATCGAGTGAATTAAATAAATGAATAGGAAATTTGCTTAAAAAGAATGATATAATGATATATATTCAATAAGAGAATGGGGTTAAATATGGTAAGGAAGAATATATATATATATATATATATATACTTCGGATTATTGGGACTGATCGTACCTTAAATTACAAATTCAGAATAAATTTTGACTCGACTCTTTATGGAAGAGGAGACTAAATCTGATCTTTTTCTCCAAAATACTTAATAAATTAGCTTTTACATCCAATGAAGTAATTCAATATGCAGAAACTCCTAGTTAAAGCATCTATAACTCATCACTAGTGGGACAATCTCATTCTAAATCTGTCCATATGAATTACTTTACCAGTAAATTTTCGAAACTCTGGAATAATTTACCACAATCTGTCCGTGAAACCATCTCCATCCTTTGTTCGCTGTGTGGATGCTTACTTATATGTGCTTACATCTGTAAGTATATTTCATTCCACAAGTGAGATTATAGGATCTCGATCGTTTTTAACACTGACCTCTTTAATTTCACCTCACTACCTGAAGATACTATAACTAACGTGGTTACTGGTAACCTTAACTAGTTTGAATAGCATTTAACCCGAACAGTAGATCCTAAAATAACCTGGTACATGTATTATGGTAGACCTGAGTGATTAACTGACTGACCTTTTATTGTTCCGTAGTCTCTGTTTCCATTTTATTTTCTGTAGTTCTAGATGACAATAATCAATCTGTTTGGCACTGGAAATGACCTTAAATACACCGTGCATATATCAACAGGATGTCCACTTAAAACAAATTAGTAGTTACCGGATGACGCCCTTCATTGCTGCAAACATGTGAAAAATGTACTACAGAAAAAATTTTGAACAACACTTCAAACAATCTAATACCACATGCGTCTTTTAATCTGTAACTAATAGTTTCAGATTATATATATAATATATACTCCCTTTAATTCTTTTGGTGGTTTATGAAATAAAATCTCCCTTACGTTTCTGTGAAATCCATTCCCTTTCAGTTAGATAGTAGTTTAGTGAGTGTATCGCTTCACCAACATAATATTCTTTAGCATTGTATATATCAAACATTTTCAAGCTTATCAAACAATGACGTTTTTCAGGAGTTACTTCAATGATCTTCGTAATTACGGTTGCACCAACTGGATACAATTCACTCCAGCTTGTATTAGATTGAGTACGAAAATCAGATAAAAGATGCTTCGGTGCCAAACCATATATTCCAGCAGGAAAGTGAACAAATACACCATAGTCCTTGTGATGTGAAACCCAAGCAAACCACTGACTACCAACCTATTCAAAACAAGAATGAACAGAACAAAAAGTAATATTTAGAAAATGTAGTGAAAGAAAAACGCGCTTTCAGTCTATGACGTCAAATGATAACTGCAGGCATTTTGATTGAGAATCAGTAAGTTGTTGGTGATGTTAGATCCCCAGAACTCACTTGGTAAATACCTTATTTTTGTAATTTTATTTTGAAAATTTGGATTTCTTGTTTTCGCACCAAACGCGCTCGTTTTTACCTTCATGTTGTATTTTTCACTTGAGAACCTCAAACGCTATTGGTTCGTTGTATCTTTTAGTATACTATTTTGTAACGCTTCCCAAGGACAATTTTATGCTGTACATGTACGTTTGATTTGTACTTGATGTGATTACTCGTGCTTCTGGCTGCTTGCGGAATATATTACCCTATTTCGAGCTTGGACTTCTCTCTCTAGTTAGCGGAGCTGAGAAGCATCTGAATAGCTTTGGTCACAGTTTTTGTCCCGTTCATAGACTAGATGAAACCGTAATTGCTTCAAATGTAGCATAAGTAAACAATAAAACTTAAATTAAACAGCTGAGGAGGGCCATTATCATTTGAATTGTCATAATATTATCCAGAGTTTTACAACATTTTCGATAGATAAAGATAAGACAAAATTAATGGCCTTTGCGAAATCAAATTTTCTTCCTAATTTAATATAAATGTTAAGTTATTTATTATTTCTGTACAAAACACAGGTAATTTTCTTGTTCCACCTCTTATTTATCTGTTGTTTCGCTTGTCTTGATGAGCTGATAAAAGAAATAGTAACTTCAACAGGCAGTATATAATCAATAAGCGACTCCAGCTACACAGTTTTCAATGCACATACAAACAATGCTCAAACTCTAATCTTCTGAATTCTTCATATCCTTTATTTTCTTTCCAAATTTATTCCACTGGATTATACTCCTTAAATAACATCATCAAACCCTAATGTTCCCTATCACTATTTATACTTTCACTACCTCTACCACTACGGGATTTGAATCGATAACTGAATCTCTGTGCTAATGTGTTATGGCAACTCGAACTGATGTACGTACGTACGAAGTACCACGTTGTTACTGACTGACTGAGTGTATATCATGAGAAAAAGAGACAGTTAACGAGACTTGGATATCATGGTGACTGACAAATAAAATGTATAGAGTATACAAAACACGACTTACTTGTAATTCATCAAATGTTCTTAAGAAACCAGGTCTTTTGTCAGATGCTTCTGAATCCACCATATCAACATCAATATTAGTATTTGCTTTTAAATCACTAGCTGCTTGAATTAGTGTTGGTCTAGCAGATAAAATGACAGTTTGTTTTCCCTTATCAATAACGACTACATCACGCGCAGAATGATCCCAATTAAGTGTAGAACCAGGTTTTATATTTTTTACATATCGACTTAGAAGCTGTTGATTTGATTCATAATCAGATAATTGACTAAATGACAAAAATCCTGTACCAAGCGCAGGTGTGACAGTATTGTTGATATTTTTATTGTCATAAAGGTTAAGCGATATTCCAGTGTCTTGTACTTGATTTACAGTAGCCCTGAAAAGCTAACAATCCAATTAAATGAGACAATAGTTGTTGATAGATAGTGAAATATCGACGTCGTTACATAAAAAAGCCTTCGGTTGAGTAAAATATTGACAATTATTAATGAAAGAAGTAAACTGTTTTAGGTACCACTGAGTATGTAATATATCTAGAGCTTAATCAAGTGGATCAGTAAATAAAATGGAAATTCATAAACGCCCTGGTACGGCCGAGAGTGGGGAGAGTCCGCTCTCTCTCTCTCTCGAAATACTCTCACATGGCCACGCGTATATAGCCTCTGCCATAGAAGTCCTACTCACTACCTTCTCGTGGCGGGATGTTGTTTACAAAACTGAGAGGACTACCAGCGAATGTACGGCACTTTAACCGGGTTGATGGACACGGAGAGTCCACCTAGGGGAGTCGGAAAACATTGATTCCAAACCAATGGTGTACATGGGCTCCAGTATCCTGATGGGACAAATGGCGTATGAACAGATTGTCGGTCACCGGATACCATGGGACTGCGTCTCCTTACGATGCTCCACTGCCTTATGGATCAGATCTTCAGGTCGAAGGCTCGGGATGTGGCCCCCTTAGAAAACCACCTGCTTCGGTTTGGGCACCCGGGCAGTATCACAGCCCTCACACATATCAATTGATATCTGTGTGGCGCATATGTATTTGGCGCCTCCTTGTACAAATATCTATGTGTTAAAATAAATAAATGATAAGCATAACATCGGAGGATGCTTGAAATCACCAAAATTTACTAACTAATATTTAGAACAACGTTAATTTAATTTATTTTCGAAACTTCATCTCATAATCGTTAAGTAGAGATTAAACATTAATGGGGTGGTGTTCATAGATTAAAAGGCATCGGTACACTTGTGGACTTTTATTTAGTGGTAAGTCAAGGTTCAAATCAAAGTTAGTAAAAAATAAATGACGGTTATCGGGTATGTTAGTCCTAGAGTATTTGAAATGAATTGATCCTTTGAACAGAAATAACTTCAGTTGTCACTGAGTAGTTTGAACACTACTTAGGTTATAAGTTTAAACTTGATTTCATGATATAAAGTTTATATATAATCGTTATTCCTACTTTGCAATGTCTTACATAAAAGAACCAAACAGAAACCAATGTAAATAGTAGTTTGTTTTGTATCTATAATCACCGATAATTTTCTTCAATATCATATAACTGAGCATAGAACAACTGACATAACAATAGTTAACTTTTAAAGAGAATACATAAAGCATAATACTCATCAAAACTGACTGCTAACTGTCAATTTCTTTATCGTTTTGTCATTTTGTTTTCGGAATGGTTGTCAGTCAGTTCACGTGTAAAGTAGAACCTGACACAGAAGTGGATCGGTTTAATCTACCATATTACATTAGCATACCGAGATAAAATTATCAAGATTAGTCTCAAAGTAGTACAAGTAATAATGGTATGAGTAGTAATCGAAAATAATATATATAGGAAAGTGTAAGGAGACTTCAGAACTCAGCATTTAGGGGAAAACAAAGAGTAAATGCACCCAGGCGAATATGAATTATTCTGAGGCATATCACCTAGCCTCAAAAAGTTGGTAATGATAATCACGAGAATACCAAATACGTAGTCTATATATGTATTTGTAGGTAAAATGAAAATGTTATACCCTAGCAGAATGTCATATTAAAGAGATGTCCTAAGGAAGTTTGAATGCAATAATGATGTTTGCAGTGTTTCTCGAGTTCTTAACTTTGAAATTTTAAAAATAATATTAAACCATTATTAGTCCTTTTTCGAAAAAGCTATGTTAGTACGTAGAAATGTGTTAGTACTCCACAGTGTCATATGTAAATAAACATTTCCAACTGTTAATCAAGATGATTTCTAGTCAAAAAGAAGGCAACTTAACATTTGAAAAACATTAGGCTTACCTGACCAATTTGCACAGAGTTCAAAAATATCGATTGTGTGTTTTTCGTTTCCTTAGAATGGAACTAGAATTAAACAAAGATGAATTTCACTTAACTAGTTGCATCATTCTATTTTATGAGTTAAATTATCATTAATCTTCGAAAATTACGAAAAACAGCTAGACCATTTGTCACAAACATTTCAAGTTGAACACTAGTAAAACTAAATGGTATTTGATATTTTGCTAAAATATCTGTATATCATTATGAGAACTAATAGCTATATGATTTGTTCGTGAATATCATTACATTTGTTTTAGATACAGTTAGGCCAGAAAATCTCTCTGGATTCATTTGATATCAACTTACATACGGAACCTACTGACATAAATAAACCGATATATAGATTTCGGTAAAATTCACACATTTTATTTAAGAGAGATAAATATTAGTTGCAAACGTTGTCATATGTCACAATTTTTTATAATTCTTCATAAAATTTTACAAAGAGTGCAGATAAGGATTGTTGTTTATAAACATCTATATTGAAAGCAGAAAAAAAAATTATTATCAATGGTACAGGCGAGTATTTTTACTCTGATTGTTAAAATAATACTAGTGATAAGTGTATGGAAATGTTCAATTATTCTGTAGGAAATATCTGTTTTCCGTTATTTGATAAATCAATGTTGGGTGATAATTTCAAACTATGTATCAAGAACATATATTAAGCTTTATATCGTTCCATTCATGTAATTTAATGACACAATTTATTTAAATACTATAGGCAGTTTATAATCGCGTACATAGATATACGTCAGTGAAGACATCCATATATATTTAAGCTAAGAAAAATTCACAAATAACAAAACAATAAAATGTACCTTTAAAGAAAGCATATACTTTGAACGTATACTTTGACCATCTTTTTCTACTTTACTTTCTGATGTAATATTAATCTCACGTTTAAATTTCATCTTCAGTACTTGTCCACGGTAAAAGTTTGTCTGTAAAATATCTTCATCAGCTAGTCCAGTTTCACGTCTAGGTATCCATCCACGAATATTATCCAAACCAGAAACGAGTAAACCTTTATCGCTAACCTTAACAATGAACCCTACAATCAATAGTTGGTTATTATTGCCATTTTTCAGTGCAGAATACATTTCGTGACTGCCAAATATTGGGAATTCAGTATTTAATAAGCCTGGTTTTGCGGTTAAAATCAATTTATTGGCACATTTGTCAAGTTGTAAAACCTAAAATACAACAAAGAGGAAAGCGAACAATTAGCTTGAAATTATCGCACATTAATTTCCCTTTAAAACCAGTTAACAGTTTGTGGATGAAGCGAAGATAAATCACCCGATTCAAAACCGGAGAAAAAATTCGGTAGATTACATTGCAGAAACGATATTATTTCATCAGTAAATAATAAACGATATTTACAAAAACAAATACAGTGAATTGATGAACATATGTTTTGAACCACCTATGAGGAAAGTATATTTTGAAAGCTTGGCAAGATCTTAAGCTTTCACTCATCATCAATAGTAACTATCTGATAAATATAAACGTTCAGGTAATTAGATATTAGTAGAATTGTATGTGACAGTAATATTGAAATATTATTGTAGACGAAGCAATATATGTTAGTGTGTGTAATCTTTAAATTGATTGTGAGGCAACCGATACTTATTACAAAACTTAGATGAATGTACAGCGTTTTCAAAACCAAACTATTTTGAAATGGAAATTTTTCACGAATCTAAACTTCATGATCCTTTTAACCGTGACGTTGCATTCAGAGGTGATATTTGGACGATGCTGAAATCGCGAATCATATCTGAGCATGATGGAAAGCAATTTTTAATTACACAACTGATTTCAGACGAGATATAAATTGGGGACGCTTTACAAATTTCATCTCTCGTGATCACACGACGATCTTGGTTTTAAAAATCTGCTTACGAAATAGAAGCATGATATTATTGTAAAATAGTAGAATCTTTCAGTAAACCGTAACTCTCTTCAACGGGGTTCCAGAAACAGCTCGAAAAAGATAGATTTAATCAAAATTAAAGCGTACATACATGTATCAGCAATACGGGGAATTATTTCACATCAGAAGTGATACAACTGTTATGTGTGAAAATTGATTTGTCAAGTCACTAAAAAAATGTCCATTTATTCCTTATTTTTATTTTTTACTGTACATTGTAAAGCGTTATATCAGGATTTAGTTCTAGCTAATTCGACTGCATCCTGCTGTAATTAATTGATTAGGTGCAAGAATTCTAATTGTTGAATTGTAAGTTCACGACTAACTTAATCTATGCAGCAAATCTGAATGCATATAAAATATGGCAACCGTTTAAACACAGAAACTCAAATGCATTGTAATCTAAATAGCACTTGAATAACAAGGTCTAAACACTTTTAATTAGAAATATATATATATATATATATATATATATATATATATATATATATACATGAAGGCAACAAAAATTCACAAGAATAAAACGTAAATAAACAACAATAAACTTACTAAACAAGAAATTTTTTCTCCTGCTTTAAATTTCTCTCTATAATCCTTAAGATTAATATCAGTTGTGTGTAGATACGGTATAAGTCCATGAAGTCGTCCTTCTAGGTGGACGACAATACCAGTTTTTGAATAACGCTTAACGGCAGCCTATAGATGAAGAAAGACAATTACGTTTTTATATATATTGGAAATATGAATTGAAATCTAACAAGAAATTGATGCTATTCACTTCACCATCATTCTTTAATTGCATAATCCATGTAACACTACATATTTAAGTAATCTCACTAGAAAAAAATGCCATCTTGATCTAATGAAGTTAATCAAAAAGTTAACTAACTTTAAGTAAGGATATGGTTTACTTAGAACCAAATGAAAACCGGTATTAGCATTTTGCAGTTAAAATAAGTTATGAATGTGCCTTTTTATAAAATGAAGACTGGCAGTAACCAATCAATGTTATTGAAAGACGAATAAATAAAAGAGATTTATCGGCTTAGTAAGTTCCAAGTAATTAACTAATGGGACTTAGTAAGTGTCATGTACTCAACTTTGAGTCAAACTTTTCGGCCAAAGGCCGGCGATAATGTAGTGAATAAAAAGTTAGGTGCGGAAAACCAAATTGTTCTTATATGCAACCTCAAACAGCATCTTTGTAAAATACGAAAATCATGCGTTAACTACACCATTCCTTAATTCATCCTTTACATACTTCAAGATTCTTCCGATCCTGATGTCATTCCGATTGCTCTTCGTTTTCCATCCTCTTCTTTTTATTTCACTCTTCTGTTGGTAAACATGCTACTTTCAATGCCTGCTATATACTACTTACGTCTATCCGTACAAGTAGTGCACATCACAATACTACCTCACTACCTATATTAACAGATGTCCAAGGGTGAGGAGAGCCCGCTCTCCCTCTCCAAATGCTCTCACATAGCCACATGCATACAACCACTGTCAGGGAAGTCCTACTCACTATCTTTCCATAGCAGGGATGTTGTTTACAAAATTGAGAGGACGAAAAGCGAATGTCCGTAGCTATAACCGGGTTGGTGGATATGGAGGATCCACCTAGGTGAGTTGGAAAACCCTGATTCCAAACCAATGGTGAGCATGGACTCTTGGATCCTGATGGAACAAATGGCGTATGAACCTATTGTTGGTCACCAGCTATGGGACTGTATCTTCTAACGTTGCTCCATTGCGTTGTGGATAAAAACTGCAGGTCAAAGGCTAGGAGAGTGACCCCCTAAGAAAACCACCATCGATTTGGGCGCCCAGGCAGTATTTCAGCCCTCATACAAAGTGAATTTGTGTGGCGCATATATATTTGGTACTTTTTTCTACCAAAGTTTGTATTTAAATAAATAAATAAGAGTTTTAGTCAGTCATACGTAACGTAGAACCTGATACACACGTGAATTGGTTCGAATTGCCATACCATATTAGTACAGCGAGATAAATCTACCAAGACTAATCCCAGAGTAGCAAAAGTATTAGAAAAAATTAGGACTCGAACATGCAATACAATTATTAAAAATTCGAATAGCTTAACTATGGGTCATCACTTCATTACTGGCTGTTCAAAACACTTCAGCGAACACCGAAATACAAACGTTTATATACCAATTTTCATGCACCATAATACCACATATAGGGGAAAATACATATGATTACCATAAAAACACCGAGTACAGTTCATCTAAATTGATACAAGGAATATAACTGTCACACTGAACGGAAGTTCATACTTGTCATATAAACGAAGTTTATGCCGAATCAATACAAAAAATATTGACCTTAAAACATCACACTAGACAAAGTTCACACTTGTTACCCAATTGTTAATGTCTTCACTGTGATATCTAGAGTGAAGAATCTCAAGGTAAGAGAAAAGTTCTGCACAATAATCTTAAGATTTTAGAACTGTTCTATTAATTGATAAAAGTTTATGATTAACCCTTTGAAATAAAGATTCGATTACTTTGATAGCCAATTTTTATGACACAATATCACTGGAAAATTAACAAATCGCCCTATGGTTTGACATTCATTTGCTAAACCATTTCTTTTCTGTGCATTCAAAGCATAACTTACTATCTTAAATTCATTTCGAACATTCAATTTCTATCAGACATAAAGTGCCCATTAACAAAACTTTGTATGAAAATATACTTTCGGTGAATTTCTACCAGTTAATTCAAATTAACATATATTCGATAAAATCACCGGCAGGAACGATTCTCAACTACATTGTGGTTATGTATGCTTAGAAAAAGCTATATTTATCAAATGCGGATAATAACGTTGGGAAATACTTACCGACACTTTATCCCCAGGTTTGAGTTCATGAAGAGACAAAAACGGTACACTCAACAATTTCCTGAAAATGATAATAGTTTAGTATAAAGTGTTTGAGAAAGAAGAATATAGAAGAAAAGTTTAATCCACGTTACATGACGAAAATAAATAAAATCCCATTCTTTGAAAACATTTTAAATCAGCTCATTCACCAGGTACTTGGTGTGAGTCGTACCAAGTGTCAGAATGAATTATACTACTTGATTGCCCAGACCAAAGTAAGTGGAGTGGGTTCCAAACCTTTTAAAAATAGATAGTCTATAAATATTTTATAACAAAGCGAAATCCTACTAAAAACAAAAACCATAATTATTAGGACTTCTACTTTTACTTATCTAGTGATTAGTTTTGAAATTAAAAAAACCTGTAGATGCTGCGTGCTTTGTCATATGGTTATATCCAAATTAGCAAAACATATCTCTAATCACACTATTACTTGTTACTACCTACCTAAGGTACAAACCTCACGTAAACAATCTAAGTTTATTAATACTGGGCCTATATAGAAACAAATTCAGTAAACATTAATACCAGAAACTACAAAAATTTTGGTTTATGATTAAGTGCTTTTAACCAAGCGCCTAAGCCACTGAGGTAGAAATCTGGTCAAATATCACTGGCCAACATATGATCACACGAGTAGTTCACAAAGAAACTAGACGTGATGAAACTAACGTAACCGTTCGGAAAGCCCCCAAATGCCCTGGTACGGCCGAGAGTGGGGAGAGTCCGCTTTCCCTCTCGAAATGCTCTCACATGGCCATGCGTATATAGCCTCTGCCAGAGAAGTCCTACTCACTGCCTTCTCGTGGCGGGGGTGTTGTTTACAGAAATGAGAGGACGAAAAGCGAATGTCTGGCGTTTTAACCGGACCCCAAACCAATGGTGCACATGGGCTCCAGTATCCTGCGGGAACAAATGGCGTATGAACCAATCGTTGGTCACCGGCTACCATGGGACTGCATCTCCTCACGATGCTCCACTGCCTTGTGGGTCAGACGTTCAGGTCAAAGGCTCGGGGTGTGGCCCCCTTAGAAAACCACCTGCTTCGGTTTGGGCACCCGGGCAGTATCACAGCCCTCACACATATCAATTGATATCTGTGTGGCGCATATGTATTTGGTGCCTTCCTGTACCTATACTTATGTGTTAAAATAAATAAATAAATAAATAACCGTTCGGAAAACCAAACCTAAAATTGCCTTTTTTAGTATGATACGTTATTCAAATTTTATAGGAGTAATAATTCAGATGTGACATGGATGAATAGATGTAAACATTTAAACTGTTTATTTATTTGATTCACATGAAATCTGCTACAACTAAGCATTAAAAACATTATTAGCTACACATTATAAAATTTGTGTATGTGCCAGGATATCGCTGTAGCGCCCAAACCGATATCAGCAAACTCCCTACGAAATTGATAGAAAAATAGTAAAAGACAGCAGATACTAAGATTTACATGTTACACAGGTTTTTGGTACTTATAATTCACCTCAGAAAAAACCCAAATGTGACTTACGGTATGAACACTACAAATAGTGATTTCAAAATCAATAACAAACTACATGATTGTTGAAGGGAAAATTTCTTCTAATGATGAAATTCACTTCTACTCTTATCCAAATTACTGAGGGGATAATCATTGATGTTTTTACGAAAAAGATTTCCTTGTGAATCATTCGACAACCTACTGTAAGCCTACTTACAAGACGACAATACAACTCAGTCAGCAAGTTTAAGTCTACGTATGAAGTCTTGAGTCACCGTCCTTTAGTGTGACGGGTAGTGATAACGGCTGTAAAAAACCGAAATAGGTAAAAAGAACATATAGGGCAATAGTTTAAAGTCCGCTACACTAAACAATAAGGCATCGCTTACCACATATAGAACAATTATGTATCAAAATGAAGCTAAATGAATCATAATAGCTTGGATTAAAAACTACAAATGATTCCAATCATGACTTGATGATGGAAGTTCATAAATGACTTAAAATCCATTCTACCACTTGTGTCATTTGATAAATCAGAAATTACACGCAAAGCATACACGAATGTTAAGAAAAGCTCAAACCACCTATTAAATGATTATCTAATGTGGTGTGTGGCTCACTTTGAAAAAACCCCAGCCGATGGAAAATAAGACAAAGATTTTGACAATTCGTAGAGCAAGCAAACATAGATTTAAGCAAATCCCAATTTGAGATCAAAATAGTTGCACCCGAATAAGTTTTATTATAAGCTATTTGATTAAATGAGAAAGGAAAGAATGCTTATAAAGAAAACTAGACATATAACTAGAAAATTGCTGTACTATAAATGAGGACTCGCTAAATAATAAAGCTTCGATGAGATTTCTTCATATCAAAACTTTTAAGATTATTCTTTCGATAAAGCTAAGTAGAATTTTATGCATATATACACTAACCGGTGAAACCAAAATACTTTATCTAAATTAGTAACCCAGTGGTGAAAATTCACGGTTTAGGGTAGTTGTGTAAGTATTCATATACCTATTAAAGATTTCCACTTTCTATGTACATAAATAGAAAGAATAACAAGACAAAATCATATCATACAAACTATGCACCTCAGTATAAAAGTCGCATTATCCTAGGGACACTACGAAAAGTAAATCCTACTAAAATGGTAAATTATAATCATACAAACATAATCTCATACTTGTTTGTTGTAGCTACAGCTACGTTCTCTAAAAAGTCATGATCAGTTAAACGGCATGTCAATTTTGATCCAACAACTAGTGACTTGAAATTTTCGCTATTTTTTGTCCCTGTTTTAGGTATCTAAAAAAGACGAAAAATTAAAAATATATTAACGCGCTGAACTTTGATTTAGCGACATATATGTGCTAAGCAGATATATTAAAGTACTATAAAATGTCATGAACCAACGCGCGCTAGGAGTTGCATATACGGCGAGAATTAGGAAAATTCAATTTCAATATCCAATAACTTGGGTTTTACTTAAAGTCGGTATCCATAGTACTGAATTTCATTCTAAGAGTTTCCGATACACTTTAATTAAATGGTTCGAAGAAATTATTCCAAAGACAAAAATGGAGTAAATTCTTTGGTATAACATATCTCGAACTACACTTTAATGGGAACTATGTACAACGAAGTTTTAGTCTCTGACTAACTAACATGTGAGAAGCCTGGAAACGCACAATCTATAATTACTTTTAGAGAATATGCAACTGCCACTATGACGTAGTCATGCAAAAAATACATAAACGAAATTCACGTTAACCAATTGGAGTAACCTGTTGAATTATCTTTCCTATCACTTAACATACGGTATACTTTAGATATACACAAGATGTTGTTAACCTACTACAGATTTACATGATTTTGCATACAGAGTATGACAAATAGACTGCCCTATTCTGTTACATTCATCCCTACTGACCTGGGAACAAGAACTTGGTAGAAGTTCGTCCGATCAGACTTGGCTTCCTTGAGAAGAAATTGTATAAATAACAGAACATTTAGTACCACAGTTTATAAAGAAATATAGGTCACTATATTTATTCATATTAAAAATTTGATAAATTTGGAACGATCATACAACTTTCATTGTAATATTTAATAATAAAAATCCAAAGAAGTTATTCATTAGAGTAATTTTTGTCTTGCTTTCCAATATAACCGTTTACAAATTTGAAGATTTATTAAAATATTTAAAAAGAATCAGGTTTAATGAGAAAATTATTATCAATCAGTATTGCTTAACATACTCTGATAACTGCTTTGAGTCCATTTGTTTTAGGTAATTTGACAAGTACAGCGCGTTTGTTTACACGCTCTACCAAAGAACCTGAGAAACGTGTACCAACAGGACACTTAGAGAGCATCTCCGAAATGTTGAGAACAGAGGGGATCGGATTGACTAGATGAGGAAGTAGAGAGCCCGTCAATTGTTTTGTACTGGGATCTACCAATATGATACAAACAACAACCTAAGAATACATGAAGGGAAGAGAAAAAACCTAGTACGAGAACCAGCAATTATGTTACAGAAAAAAGTGAACAATGAACACATAATTTATAGAAACTAAACACGGTTTTGAAAACGATTTTGCAATATTTCCATTTTAATAAATGTTTGACAGCAGAGAAAATTTTTTAATTCATAAGAGCCAAGATAGAAAATTAACGTATCATTGTACATTAGCAAACAAGATTTATGGAAAGTAATAAAAATATTAGTTGCCTTTATTTTTAGAAGTTTAAATGAACTAAGTAATATTCGTTGCTACATATATATTTTCTATGTATACAACCGAAATAGACTTTTGTGAACTCTGAAAAAAATAACTGACTACCTTCTATACTCGTAAAACTAGTTAAGATATTCGACTCATGGTAGGATGGATGTGAACACATCTAAATGGTGATGCGGTCTAAGAGCACGCATATTACAACATCAGTTTTATTAAGAGATATGTCACAGGGGAGGAATTTTCATGAGGAGAATGTGAATAACAAGGAACTAAGTGTCAAATAAAGTAGAGCAACACAAACCAAATTGAAGATAAGTATACAGGCTAATAAACAGTGGGATATGTTGCCAACGCAGCTATCAACTCTTAATCAACCCACATACTTCCTGAGATTTTGTCAGCAACCAGGTCATTAGGATTTATGCGCTGCTCTTAAGTGAAATAATACATGCTCAAACGCTCCACTCCCTATTCTTAAACTGCCAATACGGATCAGTCATACCATTAGCTTATACTGTTAATATGAGGAATACATTCCAAACAGTTACGGATTCTAACTCAGTCAGTCAGCTTCAACGTACGATCAGGCACATATATGCATCATTCCAAGTTGTCATACCTCATTAGCACAACAAAACGAACACCAAATTCATGGTAGTCACTTCAATGGTTGTAATATGTAAAAGAAAGACTGTGTATAAGGATATGGTACAGGAAGGAAGAATTAGTTGGTAGAAAGAAAGATACAAAGCAATTTTAATCTTCTAGTTTAAGGGAAGACAGAGAGTGTATACACATACGCCATTGTGATAGATTCTGAGCCATGTCAACCACAGTCTCCAACCATTGGTTACGAAAGTCACAAAACTGTGATTCTTTTAAATCCGTAAATTGTGTTATATCACACCCAGAGTTGATTAGAACATATTTCGATAAATGAATACACGTCTATAGCAAAGATGATAAATAGCGATAGTGGATATCATAAGCGTACATAACTCCGAACAGTGAAATGGAAAATCTATAGTCAAACTAAATATCCCATTAACAATATTTGTCGCAATACAGTTAAGGAGAAACCACAAAATCTAACCACCAAAAAATATCTAAATGGTAGTGATATTTAGCACACATTGAATGCAGCACAATGTTTAGTTCTGCAAGTGACAAACGTAGATGCAAGGGGCAAATGATATGGTATCAATCAGTAAAGTCTAATTATTCACCATTCACAACATTAAACGAAGATTTAATAGCAGTATCTCCCTTATTTGTAGAACCAGGAGATTATTAAAACTAGTCATATGAAATTATTAATTCATAACCACAGACCATGATGACATAAAGGTTAACTTGTTATAAGCTGTTAATTTCAATAGAAATGGGTCACCGTAAGTCACTTTTACTTCATGATAGACTTATCAGTGATTAAAACTTAAAGGAACATGATGAAAACCGCCAATTAGTTTAAAAAATTACCTTGGCTCCTATTTGATAATCTTCTTTGTTTCCGATGTAGTGGGTGCGCGAGATTGATATAAAATGTTCTGAAAACTCTGCAACTAAGGTAGACGTAACCTTCTTGATAATTGAAGCATGGAGACAGGTACCAGGGAGCAAGCAGTCAAAGTTTACACGAGAATCAGGACTCAACTAAATACAATTAAACTCAATAAATGAATGCCAACCAGAGATAAAGTCGGATCTATACGAGTGGTTACTTTCAAAACTCGTTTACAGCTACTATCTACCACAGGATCTGACACATATGGAGTAAAGGGAATCAAACTGCCAATATTAGGGTTAACTGAAAATTTTAAAAAGTAAATAAAATACGAACCATCAATTTGGTCTTTGGGTAAGAAACAATTGATTCTAGCAACACCAGAATCTAATATATAACCGTGATCTTCTAGGCTAACGACAGACCCGACTAATACCATATGAGGTTTAACATGCTTGGATATCACAGCTTTATTCACCATTTTCGGGTTTAATGAGACGAGATATCTTTTAGTGGAACCACTCCCACGACTATTGTCAGCTTCCTTAATAAAGCATCTCACAGTCTGACCAACTTTGAACATATCCGAGAGTTCAACAAGATCATCCTATAGATGAAAAAGGTCACTAATATTTCATTTACCTGTATGATACCAGTCTCCGCAGATTCCCTCAAAAGTTCAGTATACTTATCACTCACATCATATATGTTAACTCGACCCAAAAATCCGTTGGGTAACTGCACCTCGAGGTATAGTTTCTGGACAGACTTTATTACTCCCAATGCCAACGTTTCATTCTGCATGCTGATATAGTAAAACTCACATCCAAACTCACCGCGATTGTTTTCCACCACCTTGAACGGCTTACAAGCGATCAATCTTCAGTCTTCAGTACTAAGGATAAGAGGTCTATCGACCCTTATTAATTCTTGCGGTTTGTGACATTGTAGAGGTCCAAACTCGTTTCAAATATATCAACAGAAGGTGCTGATAATACGTGTTCTGGAAAGCAATTTCAGTAATTCACTACTCGGTGCAACAAACGAAAATCCAGACGTTGATGACCTGATTTCATTTTTTTAATTTCTTGGGGTGTCCTTCCAAAATATCAGTCCTAGACGGAAGGATAGGATAAGGCATATTAATATCAAGGTTATCGTTCAGTATACGATAAGCCAACATTAGATCACGGTAAGATAACGGAAATAAGTTGGTGTTTCAGTCTGTCTTCATAAGATAAAACCGAGAGACATTCTACCATTTTTTCCTTCGTCGTTTGATTCTTTCCGACATATCCGTTTCATATTTGAAACAAGGACTCGCTCCTTGAATCCCATATTCTAAATGCGGTGGCACTAATGTCGGGCATAATAATCTGAAGTCTTCATCCAAACACTGAAAAGACCTACCAATGGCCCATCATATCCTATAGTCTTTTACAGTAGCAGCCTTATAGTTGCCATTATTTCTGAGATCGCCGCTTATTATGACTTCTAAATCTTCATAGTTTCTTACATTGTGTAACACGAATCCATATACTGTGTAGTGATACGAATCATCTTAGTTATCTGATTGCATCACCACACTCTTGTTAAGATTCACCGATGAGTTGTAATACTATTCTATCCGACATACTGTGTGTAGGTCTCCAATTCTTTATGTCATCGGCGAAGAGTAGAACGGATGACTCTGCTACAGTCGGTATGTCAGTCACATAAAGTAAAAAACGAAGACTGAAGATTGTACCCTGGGAAACTTCACATTTCGCAAATTCCCACAACGAAAAGCTCCGTTCGCCCCTACCCTTTGTCTCCTGTCATGAAGAAAGTCTATAATTTTATAATGGATTCCAAAACCGCCATTTTAATTTAAGACCGGAACGGGAGACCTTATTAAAGGCTTTATTTAGATCTATGAAAATTAACTCAACAAGAATATTTCGGTCCTTTGCTGCAGACCAGTCTTCTGTTGAAATGAGCAGATTTGTTAAACATGATAGGCCTTTCCGAAAACCACGTCGTTCCCTTCCACAAAGTTTACACAGCCATCCGAACAATCTTTTTCATTGGTTTTACAACTACACTGATTAGATTAAATGGGTTAATAGTTACTAAGTTTCTACTCCCCGCCTTATACACTGGACTAATTATTGCGTCTTTCCAGTCTCTTGACAGTCTGGACTACCCCAGAGACATATCAAACAGTATAGATATAGGTTTAGCAATTACATCCGATAGGGTTTTCAAAATGAATACCGTCAGGATAAATGAAATTCCATCACTTCTCTGAGTTCGCCTTTTCATATGCCAGAATAAGCGTTTCGGACTATTATTACAACCCCTAACCAAATGTTAATCATGCGACTGTCTAGTCTTATTTATTAATGCTTTACAAGCATTCTGTACCGTTTTAGGCCAGTAGTGATGAACATATTTCAATGCTTTTCCTACGTCTAAGAAGTATCTTGACCATATGGTACCAGACATGGTATAAACGAGGACGTAACTGAACCAAACTTGCCTTTAAATGTAGACCGTACTACTTCAACTGATGAGCTAGTATCCACTGATTATTCTGTCTTAGCAGCGCACTGCTGTATGGCTGATATGTTGGTTCTTCATACATTTGGTCGAGGCATAACCTGATCGTGTAACATTTCACTAGCTCCAAACGTGAATGTCAAAACAGTGTAGCTGCTATTCACTAACGGCGGAAGAATACTTAGATTGACAATATTTTCAGTCTCACGAGTGATAATCGAGTCCAACAGAGAAGAACCTTGGCTTGCACCAAAACATGTGGGTTTGGATACAGGCTGTACTAACGCATGCTCCATTATTGTTATCAGGAACCTACTATCAAAGGGGTTTATATATCCTACCGAAGCCATCTCTGTCCAACTAATATCAGAAGCATCAGAGTCTCCTAATATCAAGCATCTATTGTTTGCACTCCATAGTTGAATGTACTCTAAAATAAAGCCGTCAGCTAAGCAGATTGAGCTGCGATAGTTGACACCGAGTATAAACGTACCACATCCGATAGCCAATTCACGGCTAATGACTTCTTAAGTTTCACTATCATGGGATTTGCAAGCAGAGGAGCGGATATTTATATTATTGGCTATGTGTAAAAAGACGCCACCTACTTTCCTACATCTGTTTCTATCACTCCTTGGGTTGTGGTATCCGGATAATTCCGGAGTAATGTTTAAGTCATGGACTAACCAAGTTTCCGCCACAGCTATAATGAGTCACTCTAATTTGTTTACTAATTTATTTCTTAGACTACGAGCGTCGGCATATAAAACTCCTGGGGATAACGGCCTGTCAGCACAGGCCTCGGTAGCATTCGCTTTCAAGACGTGACTGCCCGAAAACCCACTAACCGGAGATTTTCTTCACCGTTCTTTCGACAGGTTTCTAGTTCAGTTAGGGCCGTCTTCCTCTTAATCCTATCTTCAAGAGACACATCAGGTCTTACTCTGATGTCGGTGTTGTCGTGACTACGAGCGCTACTTAACAGAAAATCACGTTGCTTCTCCGACCCTAAGATTGACCTAAGGAGTCTATATTGTCGAGATGCAACACTGTCGTCAATCCTCTTACCAATTCTCACCAAGTTTTAACCTGAACTCCTTTAGATGATGTGGATATATTCTCCGAGCTTTTTAGAATCATGCGCATGTCTAATTTTGGGATCAGGATCGTTTGACTCTAGCGAACTACTCACAATAATAATCGATGAGATTAAATTCTTCTCAGACACGCCAGGGTGTAGTTCTGACTTACTATCAGTTTTTGGTAGTTTATTTTGTGACCCAGAATGGGAGTTTACAAGTGACTTTCCAACCAAATGTTTACCGTTTATTCTGATAATTCATCATACCTCTGTCTGTTTCACTACAAAATGGTAAGCATTGTTTAGCGTTCGTATCCGTGTGCCTTGCTGCTCCTCTGATTCTTTTTTTCAGAATCATGCTCTGAGGGAGCAGCTATGGAATTTCCGACATCTGGAACAAAGTTAACGTACGCTTTTCTCAAGTTCATAGTTTACACCAAGCTCCCTACAAGTCTACTTTATAGCAATTATGAAGTTAAAAATTTATATCGCACAACCAGATTTCTAACACAATTATGCTGAGATTGGATCTGAGCTTTTCAGCTTTGGATACTTGAGATGCAACATGCTCGGAAAAGTTCAAACTGTTGCTATATCTCAAACCCAAGTCACGAACAGTGTTGGGAGGTTTCAGTGTATGTTTGTGTATAGCCAGATTTAGGTTAAGGCAGCGGCCGATGTAAATAAATACACCTTTGACAAAATTAAGTGGCGAATTCCACGAACCAGCTCATTCTCACAACTTGTTTATTTCTTCTTGGATTACCTCTGAAATATAGCTTTCTTTGATGGGAGAAGAGAATGAATAAAAGCTTTTTATGTCATCGACAAGTAGAAAGGTTAACCATACTGAAAGAAAGAAAATACGTCATTGATGAAAATGAGAAAGAGCAATGGACCAATCACACTTCCTTGTCTAGCCTCACTGGTTACATTCACAGGTTTAGAGTAGAAAGATCCAAAGCGGACGAATTGGCTACGTTAGGCTAAAAAAAGATTTGAGCAAATATATGAGGTGATTCCGTATGCTAAATAAAGTTTCCAAAGAAGCTTGTATGAGACACTGTCGAAATCCTTACTAAAACTGAAGTACATAATTATCACTGAATGACCAGCATCTCTTTTCTGGGTAATTTGATCGAAAAACTCCAGGTGAGATGTGAAGCATTAGCGTTTAGTCATAAAAATGTATTGGGATGGGCTAATCAGACTAGCCGAAAGTAAAAATGACATTAGCACTTTGTTGATGAGTTTTTCCATGGTTCTTGAGGGCACAGATGTCAAATTAATGCGCATATAGTTAGTAATATCACTACGTAATCTCGTTTTGAAGCTAGGGGTGAGAAGAAATATTTCCTATACAGATGGCTTGGTCCCATATTTCATAGAAAGTTTGAATCTTTTTAAACAAAATAATGAGAATTCTGTTGTGTGGGCGAGAATGATCATGATTGGTTGTTTGCTTAGTCAGACAAGTAGACAGTCTGACAGGTGCCAGATAAGTCATATATTCGCTTACCCTTATTATTGTGACTCACGTATATACATCCTCTTATTATTGATTGTTCATTGTTGTGGATTTTGTCGGTTTTGGGTGTGAAAATATATTACTTTCTGGTCAGGCTGATTACGTGTTCTTGATCTGTGTTGTGTTTGAGTCCTGTAGAATAAACACTGGAAGGGATCTGGTGTAGATAATCTTTTAAGCATTACAACATCAGACAAAGTAATACCGAGCGTTATAACAAATTCTCTTACAGCATATTTCACAAGGGATGAAGGAATCCAGTCAGGTCCACAGTCATAATATGTCTTCGTGTCAGCTGTGGCCTGCTTGATGTTGGAGGGTATGAAATTAATTTTGAATAACTGACTGGATCCCAACATTTAAAATGTATTGATAGAGGTTTTAGTGTCAGTGTTGTATCACTGCGAGAAATGCTGTCTGAATTGTTCAGAAATAGTATCAGGGTCGTCAACAATGCTTCCGTTAGCTATGGAGAATTTAGTCGTGCCAAAAGATTTTGACTTCACACTGGATTTAAAGACCAGAAGTGCTGATATTTCTGGGATTTTGCTACTTAGTGCTTTGTTTTCTATATTCATAAAGTATTTGCGCTTAGATGAAGCATTTCTGGCGGTCAAGTTAAGCATACTCTGAAGTGCGTACACGTCATGATGC